GTGTTAATATTGATATAAATGATGATCATCTTAAAGATTAGTAAAACATTAATTTCAAGCAATGTACATTGTACATCTGTAAATATACATAAAGGTGCCCCTTGGGCATCTGTTTTGCAATGCCAGTGTGGTGGGCAATGTCTAAAATTGTATGACCAGGTAGAATTAGAGCATAGTTAAAAAATTGAGGCCCCAGCCATTATAGATTAGCCAGAATCCTAATTAAAATAAACTCTGTACAGCCATTATAGATTAGCCAGAATCCTAATTAAAATAAACTCTGTAATTATATTAGAGAGACATTGTTTCATAAATTATTATCTATTGTAAAGTTAATCCAGTAAGGTATTAAGGATTATAAAGTTAGGGTAACTAAGAAACAAAGCTAAGGTATAAAAGTCCTGAAAATTGTATATTCAAAAAAGAGCCAGAGGACATACTGAAGGGCAGGTCTCTGATAAGTTATTTCTTAGATGCTGTTCCTTATTAAGTTACCTAGCCTGTGGGTCAGTATTGTATATATATTATTATTGTTAAACATACATTATGCAAGAGCTAAATCTGATTATTGCAAGTCTTTATTTAGGCTTCAGATGTCATAGAAATTATAAATTAGACCTTTATTTACACAACAAGCACAAAATCAACTCTGTAGACCCACGGATGGCTTGGATTCGGCTTGGATTTAAACAGGATTTCGTTGATTGATTAAATTTTTAAATGGCGTCGTAAGCGGAGATTAACCGTTACGTTGACGTCATACTCCCGGAAATAATTTTAGATCAAGGCTAAATGATAGATTGTACGAAGCGAGGCCGCTGTTGAGCTTGGGCCGCATGTCAGTCAATTTGATTGAAAGTTCAATAAATACGGCCTTGATATTATGTTTAGTTGTGGTTAAAATGAGAGTTTGGATGTCGGTATTATACGCTCTTTTGTCACTTGCGTTTACAGAAAAATTATAGAAATTGATAAACATCGCAGCTAACATCACCCCAGTTGAATTTCAGCTCCATTGGATCACTGTTCGGGAGTTACGTAGGCCTACCAGTTACAGTACAATAGTACAGTTAGGCTAACAAGAATTCGGCTATAATTATGCCTCATTGAATTGGTCCATTCCTTTCAAACTTTCGCTTCTTATCTATATATTAAAAGTCTTATTTTTAATTTGTAGTAAAAATAAATGTGATACGAATTGAATTGCAACCCCGTCTCAAACCACAGCCATTGAAAACGTTACTTGATAATCAAGATTATGTAGGTGGAGTTAACACCTGTCAATCAAACGATCGTTCATTCTTGGAGACGGTGAAGTGAGAGTTGACTCCTATTTCTAGTCAAAAATTACAATAGTGATAACTTTGTTCAGAATAAAGTAATTTGACTAAAATTTTCAATATCTTCTTCTTTCATCATCTATTTTTGAACTGTTATAGCAAGAATGGCCAACTCTCTATTAAAATCACGCATAATGTATCTTTAAGTATTGTTACAGAATATAAGATTATACCAAGAAGAAAGAGTTATTGAATTATTGTATGTTCAATCTCACACCCCCAACTAGATTGAACATATAAACCATCGTCGAAGGTTGGACCATAAGCAGGTCCCCAAAACCCCGGATGATAATTGTTTGGATATGTGATGATGTTGCTATAATTTTATGATGGTCAGAGTAGTAAAGCATTCATTTCTAGCACTGAAAATAAGTGCCCCTCAGACAACTGTTTTGTAATAATTTGCTATCCTTTCGTTTTAAGGGTTTTATTTATATTTTCGAATTTCATAAGTTCCTTTGTATTTAAATAATCCCGTAAAATTTTTGTAATAGATTAATTATCACCTATAACATGTATGAGCGTATTTCGACGCTTTGCATGCCTATCTTGGTGAATTTGGCGAACAACAGAGTTTTCCTTTCGGATAAACTGCTATCTAAGGCCATCTTTTTTAAAAAACAAAGCTGCTGTGTGGGCGTATTTCCACGCTTTGGGTGTTTATTTTTAACAGATTTGGTTGTATATTGTCATCCATATTTTTGTCCACCTCTAGTTGCCCAGCAGTATTCTAATTATAAAATGTTGCATATCAGTAATGATAATCAACACAATGAGACAAGTGGTACATAAAAACATGTACACTGTATATACGGTCAATGATTAAAACGAGTCAGACATTCTATCTAATCTTTCATAATGCCAATTTAATGAGTTTTTACTCTTAATCTGATTTTAGTGTTTTCATTACGGACAAAAGAAAAAATATGTGTAAACCCTTGTTGACTTCACGGACAAATTAGCTGCTGTGGGCGTATGTTTCTTTGCCTGTCAAACTTATCTTTTTATACGCCTACATTTTCATGTGGACGTATATTGTTGTCGCCCCTGTCCATCCGTCGTGACACTCTATAGGTCACAATTTTTATCCGATTTTGAAAAATTGTGTTTTTAGCTTGTGGTCCCTCTAGAGGTCACAATTTTTATCCAATTTAAAAAAACGTTTTAGTATATCACCGTTACACCCTAATGATGGTTGAGTTCAAATTTCGTGAAAATTGGACCAAAACTGCCGGACAAAATGGCTGCCCCTTGTTCGCAAATTGTGTAAAAATATGGTATATCAAGGTTGTGGACCCTCTAGAGGTCACAATTTTCAACCGATTTTGATGAAACTTGAAATGCATGATTATGTCCCAAAGATCATGGTTCCTTTCAAAATTTCGTGCATACCGGATCGTACTTTCCTGAATTATGGCCCCTGATTGTTTTAAAAATCGAGCTTTTAGCTTGTTGTCCCTCTAGAGGTCACAATTTTTATATTGTCGTCGCCCCCGTCCGTCCGTCAGTGATTTCCGATAATTACTGGCAGAGTTATGGCCCTTGATCGCTTCAAAAAATCTTGTGGACGCTCTAGAGGTCAAAGTTAACATCCGATTAACTGTAAATTTATACACAGTGTTTAAGGTCATGAGACGAAGAAGCCTATTGATTTTCAGCGATTTCCAATAATTACTTCCAGAGTTATGGCCCTTGATCACTTCAAAAAATCTTATGTACTCTCTACAGGTCAAAGTTAATATCCCATTGACTTTAAATTTATACACAGTGTTTAAGGTCATGAGACGAAGAAGCCTATTGATTTTCAGCAATTTCCGATAATTACTGCCAGAGTTATGGCCCTTGATCACTTTGAAAAATCTTGTGGACACTCTAGAGGCTTAAGTTAATATCCGATTGAGTTTAAATTTATACACAGTGTTTAAGGTCATTAGACGAAGAAGCCTATTGATTTTCAGCGATTTCCGATAATTACTGCCAGAGTTATGGCCCTTGATCACTTTGAAAAATCTTGTGGACACTCTAGAGGCTTAAGTTAATATCCGATTGAGTTTAAATTTATACACAGTGTTTAAGGTCATGAGACGAAGAAGTTTATTCATTTTCAGCGATTTTTGATAATTACTGCCAGAGTTATGGCCCTTGATCACTTCAAAAAATCTTGTAAATGCTCTAGAGGCTCAAGTTAATATCCGATTGAGTTTAAATTTATATACAGTGTTTAAGGTCATGAGACGCAGAAGTTTATTCATTTTCAGCGATTTTCGATAATTACTGCCAGAGTTATGGCCCTTGATCACTTCAAAAAATCTTGTAAATGCTCTAGAGGCTCAAGTTAATATCCGATTGACTTTAAATTGATACAGAGTGTTTGAGGTCATGAGACGAGGAATCATATTGATTTTCAACGATTTCCGATAATTACTGTCAAAGTTATGGCCCTTGATCACTTTGAAAAATCTTGTGACCCTATAGAAGCTAAAGTTATCATCTGATTGACTTCAAATTCATACACAGAGTGTAAGGTCTTGAGACGAACAAGTATATTTATTTTCAGTGAATTTTTATGACTTGAACAGCTAAATCCATGATGTTATAAGTTTCCTATACTAAACGTTAGCATGGGGCAAACAAATTCTAATGGTTTTCTGATAATTACTTAATCTGTTGTTACTCTAGTCTTAATCAGATTTAAATGTGTTATAAATGTTTCATTACCGAAAAAAGTAAAAATATGTGACAACTCTTGTTGACTGCCCGGACGATTTAGCCGCTGTGGGCGTATGTTTCGTTGCCTGGCAACCTATCTTTATCTGATTTAAAAAAACGTTTTAGTATATCACGGTTACACCCTATTGATGGTTGAGTTCGAATTTCAGACAAAATGGACGTCCCCTGTACGCAAATATAATGTAAACATCTGGTATATCGATTAAGGTTGCGGACCTCCTAGAGGTAACTTCCTGGATTATGGCTCCTGCTTGGTTGAAAAATCACATTTTTTAGATTGTGAATTCTCTAGAGGTCGCAATTTTTTTTCTTATTTTAAAAACCGTTTAGATATATCACCATTCCACCATAATGAAGATTGAATTCAAATTTCGTGAAAATCGAAATGAAACTGCCTGACAAAATGGCTGCTCCTTGTAAGCAAATTGTGTATAAGTATGTAATACAAAGGTTATGGACCCTTTAGAGGTCCCAATTTTTATCTGATTTTGATGAAACTTAAAACATATCTTTATATTCCAAAAATCTCAGTCCCTTTTGATATTTGCGCATTTCAGACATTCAGACCATAACTTTGTGGATTATGGCCCCTGAGTGTACGAAAAATCGTTTTTGTTTTTAGCTTTTTCTCTATCCATCTCTTGCAAAATGTGGCAGCCACTGGTTTCAAATTTTGTTGTGAAGCATTTTAATGCGTTTAATGTTCAGTAATATTTTGTAGTATTTTGTTTAAATGAAATAATTCATCCAATAATGACCCAGATGCTGCACATTTAATGCATCAATTATTTACGTCAGCATTGAATCGTGCACTTATGTGACCCCAAATGAAAATGTAAAAATTTACGTTCTACATCTTGCATATTTCCTTTGGTAGTATCTGATGTACTTGGTATAGGATTTGTAAACAATGAATTGTCTATATTACAGTATTATAAATGTGGAGGACAATTTGCTTTAGTAACCTTAGGTTGTATTGGAGCCTATACTGCATTTACACTTCTTATTACCCAATGGAGGTAAGTTTAATTCATATGCATTTGTTTCTTACAGATATTTATTTAATACAAATATATTTATTCAATAGTGCTTTCTTAGGATGATTTCACATATGTTGAGACAATGCATGATAGGAGTGTATGTCAGACATTAAAAAACATGCATGATGTTACACCATAGTCCGGCAGCAGGTCGTCAAACCTGGAAATATAATCCACCTAATGTTTTTTAATGGATTAAATATCTTCAGTATGTGTAGATTCAGAATCCGGATGATGCCACCCTGGCACCCTTGGGGAAATTTAAATATTCAAGATGGCCGCCATGAGGCATTTTCTTGTTATTTAGAGGGGTAAAATATGTGACAGATTCTCTCGGACTTCCATTTAAAGATGTTTTCTATAAGAATTCGACCCACTGAATCCAATGAGCTTGGGTATTCCTCTAAAAATGACAGCTTGGTGGCTTATTTTGGCAGGAAACTTATAAAGTTCCCATAAAAGGTGTGTAATATATTGAAATATAGGTTTTTGGTGTATTATATATCTTCAATATGTGTAGTTTCAGAATCCGGATGATGCCACCCTGGCATCCTTGAGGAAATTAAAAAATTCAAGATGGCCGTCATGAGGCATTTTCTGGTTATTTACTTTAATTTAGTGGGGTACAATTTGGGAAAAATTCCCTCGGACCTCGATATGAAGGTGGTTTCTGTAAGAATTTGACCCGCTGAATCTAATGAGCTTAGGTATAGCCCAAAAAGTGATGACTAATTCCGCTAGGGGGCCAAATTCACAATGGCGGCTCGTTTTTTGAGGTAAACTCATAATGATTCCTAATATGATTTGCAATACATTGAAATATATAGGTTTTCGTTGTCAACTTCTTCAGATATAAACATAAATAAAGGTTCAACCAAAAGGTGTTCAACTATCAGACCATTGTGTGTTGAAAGCAAATGTTTCTAATAGCTAACTGGGGCTCACATATTTGTCTTGTGCAACCTCGGGTATTTGTCTAACTCCCCCTCTCTTGAATCACTGGAATACTCGCAATCAGTAGAACAGTCTGATTCTTCCCATTCCATCTGTGTCATGCAACGGGGATGACATTTGTCTTGCAAGTTATTTGGTCATTCATACGCGCCACTAAAGCTGCGGTTTGTATTACGCTGAAAATATTTTCCATCCCTTATTCCACTCTGTTTTCTAGTAGAGAAGGTGACACGGATGGGTGCCATAGTGGATCATGATTTATGCTTGACAATTCGCTCTCCGTAACTTCTGTTCGCATGACTCTGTAATATGTGCTCTTAGTCCTGTGATACGTAAGTTTTTACATTAACGGTTCTATTATCTTCCATGGTCTACTAAATTTAGTTACTTTGTTGAATTTGGGAACCATATTGGTGTTTCGCTTGGTCATGGCACATTTCACCATTCTTATATAAATTCGGCGAACCCGAAAACCTATAGTTTAATACATTACTACTATCGTTATGTCTTGCCAAATATGGCCACCATTTTGAATATAAGCTCAATCTGGAATACTTTTTTGTCGGAACATGTTTATATCTAAAGTAAATGACACCGAAAACCTATAGTTTAATATATTGCACGGCTTTTTAGGGGGACTTTATGAGTTTCCCCCCAAAATGAGCCTCCATTTTGAATTTGGCCCCCTAGTGGAATTAGACAGCGTTTTTAGGAAGAATACTAAAGTTCATTGGATTCAGTGGGTGTAACTCTGATAGAAATCACCTTCATACTGAGGTCCAAGAAAATCTGTCCCGAATTTTACCCCACTAAATAACCAGAAAATACCTGATGACGGCCATCTTGAATTTTTTAATTTCCTCAAGGAAGCCAGGCTGGCATCATCAGGACTCTAGAACTACATGAAGACATATAATACACCAAAAACCTATATTTCAATATATTACACACCTTTTTTGGAAACTTTATAAGTTTCCTGCCAAAATAAGCCACCATTTTGAATTTGGCCCCCTAGTGGATTAGCCGTCATGTTTTAGGAGGAATACCCACTGGATTCAGTGGGTCAAATTCTTATAAAACCCATCTTCAAACCGAGGTCCGAGAGAATCTGTCACATATTTTACCCCACTAAATAACCAGAAAATGACTCATGGCAGCCATCTTGAATATTTAAATTTCCCCAAGTGTGCCAGGGTGGCATCATTCGGATTCTTAATCTACACCTATTGAAGATACATAATCCACCAAAAAACATTAGGTGGACTATATTTTCACGTTAAGGCTTAAAATGGGGTTTGGCAACTGGACTACCATTGTTGTTGTTGAGTACGAAGTTTGTGCAAATTGGAGCGAAACATCCCGTCAGAATGGCCGGTCCCCATTACGCAAATAGTGTAAAATCATGTAATACCAAGGTTAAAGACCCTCTAGAGGTAACAATTTTTATTGTCATTGCCCCTGTCCGTCCGCGTGTCTGTGTGTCCGTCCGTTCACATTTTGTTTGTGGACACTCTATGGGTCACAATTTTTATCTGATTTTAACGAAACTTGAAATATAGGTGTATCTCCCAAAGATCTTGGGTCCTGTCGAAAGTGCTATGTATCGGACCGTAACTGCATAGATTATGGCCTATGATTGTACGAAAAATCATGTTTGTAGCTCTTGGACACTCTAGAGGTCACAATTTTTATCCGATTTTGATGAAACTTAAAATGCATGTTTATAACCCAATGTTTATTCGCGCATATTGGACCATAACTTAATGGATTATGACCCCTGATTGTACGAAAGATAGCGTTTTTATCCGATTTAAAAAACTGTTCGATTATATCACCATTACACCCTAGTGATAGGGGAGTTTGAATTTAGTGAAAATTGGACCAAAAGTGCCGCAGGAAATGGCCACTACTCGTACCAAAAAGTGTAAAAATATGGTATATCGAGGTTGTGGACCCTCTAGAGGTCACAATTTTGATCCGATTTTGATGAAACTTGAATTACATGTTTATAACCCAAAGATCGTGGTTCCTGTCGATATTCATGCATATTGGATTGTAACTTACTGAATTATCTCCCTTGATATTAGCTTGTGGTCCCTCTAGAGATCACAATTTTTATACGCCCATGTTGAAATGTGGTTGTATATTGTCGTCGCCCCCCGTCCAATTGATAATATCCGATTGACTTTAAATTTATACACAGTGTTTAAGGTCATGAGACGAAGAAGCCTATTGATTTTCAGCGATTTCGGATAATTACTGCCAGAGTTATGGCCCTTGATCACTTCAAAAAAATCTTGTGGACGCTTTAGAGGCTAAAGTTAATATTCGATAGGCTTTAAATTTATACGTTGTGTTTGAGGTCAGCAATTTCCGATAATTACTGCCAAAGTTATGGCCCTTGATCACTTTAAAAAATCTTGTGACACTCTAGAGGCTTATGATATCATCCGATTGACTTCAGATTGATACACAGAGTTTAAGGTCTTGAGACGAACAAGTATATTGATTTTCAATGAATTTTGTTAACTTGCACAGCTAAATCCATGATATTAAATGTTTAGCATGGGGCAGAAATTTATCAAAACCAAACAAATTCTAATGATTTTCTGATAATTACTTAATGAGTTGTTACTCTAAATCAGATTTTAGTGTATTATAAAAGTTTCATTACTGAAAAAAGTAAAAATATGTGACAACTCTTGTTGACTGCCCGGATGATTTACCTGCTGTGGGCGTATGTTTCGTTGCCTGGCAACCTATCTTTATCCAATTTTAAAAAAAAACTTTGAATATATCATCATTGACCCAAACTGCCAGACAAAATGGCCGCTCCTTGTATGCAACTAGAGTAAAAGTATGTAATACCAAGGTTGTAGACACTCTATTAGAAGTCACATTTTATATCTGATTTTGATGAAACTTATAATATATCTTAATATATCGAAGTCCCTTTCGATATTTGCGCATTTCAGACCATAACTTCCTGGATTATGGCCCCTGATTGTAGGAAAAATCGCTTGTTTTTTTTAGCTTGTTCTCTATCCATCTCTTGTAGCATGTGGGCTCTGTCCGTCCGTCTTGATTTCGTTTCCGGAGCATATCTCATAAACTGTTCAAGATATCTTTTGAAACTTTGTACACACATCAACCTATTACAGTAGTTGTGCCTTTTTCTGTTTAGGAATCTCTGGGATTTATATTTTTTGTGTTTACATTGAAACAAATTTGACATAGTTTATGGTGTACAATTTTGTTTCCGGAATATATCTCATAAACCGTTCAAGATATCTTTTTAAATTATTGCACACACGTCAACCTATAACGGTAGTTGTGCCTTTTGCTATTTAGGAATTTCTTGGATTTATATTTTTTGTGTTTCCATGGAAACAAATTTGACATTGTTTTTGGTGTACAATTTTGTTTACGGAGCCTATCTCATAAACCATGCAAGATATCTTCATGAAACTTTGTACAAACATTAACCTAGTATTTGCGCCTTTTGCTGATTTGGAATTTCTTGGATTTATAATTTTTGTGTTTCCATGGAAACAAATTTCACTGTTGAATGATTTCTGAATTTTTACTACACATTTGACTTAGTTTTTGGATTATAATTATTATTCTAGAGCATATCTCAGAAACTGTTCAAGATACTTTTATAACACTTCTACATTTATCAACCTATTATTTTATTTTCTGATGACCATCCTTCTGTCCCGATTTCGTTTCCAGAACATATTTCATTATCCATTCAAGAAATATATATGAAACTTTGTACAAACATCAACCTATTATAGTATTTTATTTTCTGATGTATAAGTTTATTGTTTAACATACAGTAGCTGATTGAGGTAGGCAAAGGTTGTGCAAACCTTACAGAATAGCGACCCTGCCTTGCCAAGCTACTGTGATCAGAGAGTGAATCTCTGTCTAGTCCCATTGATATTCCAAGAAGTTGTTTTTCCTTGTGCCTTCCAAACAAGTGCAAGGTCGCGGGATGGTGATGACTAGTCATCTTGTTACTATTGCTGCTTGACGATATTTAAATGTTATTGCATGACATATTGTTTGTGTTTTTATAGAACTAAATTTCGGGTTATGATGAACAAAGCCGATACAGAAGCTGGTGCTAAGGCCATTGACTCCCTTATTAATTATGAAACTGTTAAGGTAATCTTTGTACACCAACATGGAAATGTTTTTGTAGATTGTCTAGTGCTCCTACGGTTAGGACTTTTTGCTATTTGAATAACTGTAGCTATTAACTGGTTAATAACCGTTTAACCGTTTGGTATCAATTTTCATCATAAAACAGTCATTACTCGCATGCACTCTATACTGGCCTAAAAAGGCTTTACTCGCACAAAAAATTCGTGAGACTTTTCATAGAAATGTGAAATTTTTTAATGAAAATTTAAACTATCTAAGGTCATAGCTATTTGATTACCTTGTTAACTTGGTTCATTTGAAACATTTTTTAATTCAATATTGCCAATAATATCAAGACAATACTCTGTTCCCCGTCATACGTGACATATGGCGATGATATTACGATCATACTGCATGCCTAAGTTTAGAATGTATTACGATTACTCAATGTTATTAAGAATAGAATAAAGTAAATTGGAAGACTTATATTGATTGGACGATAAAGAAATAATTTCGGGCTTGCAAGTAGATTTTATATGATTGGTTAATTTAACTAAAACCCAAAGTAGAATTCTCGCGAAAGATATTACGAGATATAAAACGTGTAGAATGTCGTAATGAATATACTATTATAATGTCATTTTCTAACCTTTATGATTATATTTTGAATGGTGGTTACATTTTTAAAAAAAAAATATTAAACAAGGTAGTATATAGTTAGAAATCCCGAGAAGAAGTATTTGGATTGGATTAACAATAGCAAAAGTCAGAACAAGGTCCGTTGACTTTGCCGAACAACTACAAGTCTTATTAATATTAGTATTAATTTTTAGCAGTCGACATCGTAGAACGACAGTTACATTCAAAGATTTTCACATCAAATACAAAAGGACAACGGACAACTTTTGTTATAAAGAGGAATATAATGGGACACAACTCTATGTCATGATGGACATCTCTGAATAACCGTACAGTTTACGGTTATCTGACTAGCTGTAGGAGCACTAATATTGTCTTCACCCTCATTAGTCCGTCCGTCTGTCAGTATATCATTTTGTTTTCCCTGGTTTCACTTTGTGGAATCTTGTGAACGCAGTGATGACACAATATATATATATCCAAAAAAACAATAGTATGAATTGAACAACTATATCATTATTAATTGTTTAATCACTGTCTAATATTTTCAGCCACAGGGGCATCATCAGGACATAACATAACATAACAATATACCGCGTTCTCACAGCACGCCCGTCATGACCTCATCTCTCTTATGGCGTTTCTGTTGAGATCTATTGGCTTGGCAATGGGGATCATCGGCGAACCTGTGGCACTCTGACAATGCTCATAGGGTTCTTACCACATGTCTTCTATTGTATCGCGACTGCACATGCGTGCCTACCACATGATTACAGCGACTATATAAGCTGGTCAGATTATTGGAAATTTCAATATGATCATTATTGTGCAGTAATACTGTACAGTTGTGCGTTTAGCAGACACACGATGCCGAAGAAACATGCTACCAGAGGCAGTGGCCGAGACAAATTAACATCTAGAACAGTATCCACTTAATCAGCTCCAGCCTCATCACCAGAGTCAGCGTGATACTCTGACTCAGATGATACTGAGCAAGACATCTTGGGGCTCGAGTGACCTTAATATAGAAGAAGAATAATCCATGGTAGAAAGAACACCCCGTCTTTTATAACAAAAAGCTATCTTCAAACAAAGACAAGGGGAAGAAAAACAGCTTGTGGGCTGAGCAGTCTACGTTGCTGGGCAAAGATGTTTTGAACATCACGGTGTGGTACCAGTTTATCCGGACCAGGTATGGCTGACTGTTTAAAAAAAAAGTCTGATGCAGGAGCTTGAGAACGGACCATTCTGCAGGAGTGGTAGGACACTTGATAACTTCATTTTTGTACACATCTACTTTGGGCAGGCTTCCTTCCCAACAAGAGACAAGGTAGTATATGTGATTCTGAAGTCAAACTTCATACTTGCATACATGTCACCAGATGCCAGATGTAGCAGAGTGGGCTGCAAGCTTCATCCCTGGATCTATAGCCTTTGTGTAATTGGTATCCTTCTTAGTGATTTAGAAACTCATCAAACATACCTGGTGGAATTTTGAGAAAACTATGGAAAGATGCAGGATCTTCATGCCTCAACTCAGGCATGAGGCGATTGAAGTGCCCAACATCTTCTTCGCCTTGCCCTCCCTCTCCTTGCCCTCCTCCTTGCCCTCCTCCTTCATCGCTGTTTGATTATGTTTACAGTTGAAGCATGATTTTCTGTCTGTTGCTGCACAATAGTCAATTGTTGTAGTGTTAGCCAGTTCTGCCATGATGATGAACACGACATATACGCAATGAAGAAGACATACACACTGATGTATGAACTTTGAATCGTCCTATAGGGAGCCCTATGAGGATGTGGTGCAAAAGTGGTGAAATCATTGTAACATCGCCATGAAAACATCATAAGGATTCTGAATGCTTGGTGGGGTCGTGGTGAAGTTGCTGTTGCAAATGTTGCAATTTTCCCAGCGTCTTTGCCACATCTGTACTATGTTCATGGAGATGTTAACACGCTTGTCTCGCGACCATCCCAGTCCCACCGTGTTCTCACAGCTTTCCAGGTCAGATCGTATAACCTTGGAGTTTGTTTTGAATATGCTCAAAACAAAAGCCTTGACTCGTTGATCATCGGCGACCATGGAGACCACAACACAATACCTGGCATTTCCACCACTCTTTTACCATGCTCATGCTCATAGCGATATTGTTGCGCTCTGAGACCATTTTCCGTCGCCGTAGCAGCGTAATAAGAACGCCACCCTGGTCTGACGGGTGTATTTGGAACTGTCTGGTTAAGTAAGATTACTGCTATACTGATGAAATAACGATCTTGTTGGTGGCATAAATAAACCTGAAAAAAAAACCCAGCTATGTCCTCAATTAGGGGGATGTATAGTGCCAAAGTGTGTTCAGTGGTATTTGACATTGGCCCCACCTTCAATTATGATATGTATTTTTGTTATACGCCCACATTTTCATGTAGATGTATTATGCAGTCGTGGACACTCTACAGATCACGATTTTTATTAGTTTTTAACAAAACTTGAAATATAGGTCTATCTGTTCCTTGTGATATTGGCTTGTATCGGACCATAATTTAATGGATTATAGCCCCTGATTGTATGAAAAATCACAGTTTTAGCTTGTGGAAATTTATTTTAATGGAATTAAAAATACATGTTTATAACCCAAGGATCTAGATTCCTGTCGATATTTGCACATATCGGATCGTAACTTCCTGAATTATGGCCCCTGACAGTATAAAAAATCACGTTTTTAGCTTGTAGTCCCTCTAGAGGTCACAATAATTATTATCTGATTTTTAAAAAGACTTTTGAATATATCACCGTTACACTGTAGTGTAGGTTCAGTTCGAATTTCGTGCACAAAATATAGGTTATCTGATGATTCTTAATCGTTAAAGTAGCTAAGTCTCTAACTCAATACCATCCAAAGCCTTCAACATTGAAAACATTTAAATCAACCTTGATGTTGTGATCGTACCAGGAAAAGATGGGCTTCTGATATCCAATATTTATGACAAAATAAACATAATATTATTACCATTAGTACACGAATCGTGTACTATAATGCATTTCAGCGCCATTTGTAACAAGGGACTCGAAGAACGAGGCCAGACATACTGTAAAACATTAAATTATTGCGAATTTCTATAGTGGGGAAAAAATTATTGCGACATGAAATTATTCCGAACTTAAATAATTTTTTTTAGTAAATTTGTCTATAAAATGTGGTAGATTGTTAATTTTGGGGTGACATTCAGCTCTTCAAAACATCGGTTGATTGGTGATCATTAGTAACAGTAAATAAACAACTATTGAGGATTATAGCTTTGAGGTGACAGTCGGCTCTTTAAAACATCGGTTGATTGGTGATCATTAGTAACAGCAAATAGTGTAAACTTGTCATTTTGTACCAACCTTCGATACTACTGTCTACCATTGTGATGCATTCGATAATATTTATCCATTTTTGTGAAGAAAATCAATGAATTAATTTTATTTTATCAAAAAAGCACATGAACAAAAAAACACCGCTAATTTTATCTCTTATTTACAGGGGGTGTAACTCTGTATGTAATATTATAGGAGGCACTAAAACGTCTGTTTAACAATAAAGTGGCAATGGAAAAGAGATACTAGATGATCGTGACAAAACTCGGTACTTTTATTTTATTCAATCAGTATCAAATAATGTGTGGTTACGCGTGAAAACAATGACTAATAAAACAAAAGATTAATTAACCCTTTCAATGCTAGACGTAAATCCACTGCCTGTGCTAGATCCTTTTTTTGAGGAAAAAAGTGTGTTTAGAACTAAATGCCAAACAGTACTTATGGAAGCTTTTATGAAAATTCTTTTTGTGTGTTTGGATGGGTATGATGTTGAGCTAAGAGAAAAAAATAGAATTTTGGAAATTTGCATAATCATGTAGTCACGTGACGTCATGGCGGCCATTTTGGATTTTTCATTTCTCCCCAAAAAAACTAACACGAAAAAGAATTTTTCTCCATGAAATACTTATGGGATATTGTTTTTTTCACTGGATTTTGATAAAGATATATAAAATGAACAAAAATATCAATAGCAGCCATGAGCAATGCCACCACGAACACGCACACTATGTCTCCCGCTGCCATGACCACGTGCGGATTGCAATACCTTGTTTTTACTTTCACTTTCATCCTCAAGTCCCATATCATTATCACTATAGTCAGTCAATAGATCTACACGTTCGGGACTCAGGAATTGCCTACGTTTTTTACGATCCAGCAGGCCAGCATTATTATCAACATCAGAATTATCGTCAGAATCTACTAAAGACATACTACATACATGTAGGGTTATTATGTTCACACTGGGCTTGTTCATCATGCACAGGAGACATAGCAATAGGCGGAAGATCGCGCAACAAAT